GGGTCGATATGGTGAGGAATTATGATGCTCGATTTTGAAATCGTTGCATAATTCTTTCATCATTTTGTTATTCAGATTAGACCCGTTATCAGGTATGATCCTGTTTGGAATCCCATATCTGCATATGAGATTTTGCTTGATGAAACGAGTGACCACTTGGCTTATCACGTTTGCATACGATGCGACTTCTACCCATTTGGTGAAGTGATCTATGGCGACTAGTATAAATCTGTGTCCGTTAGATGCCTTTGGTTCGATCATACTTATCGTATCAATTCCTCACATTGAGAACAGCCAACGAGAGCTCATGACATTCAGAGGAGTAGGTGGTACATTCATGTTGTCGGCGTAGATTTGACATTTGTGACAGGTTTTTGTATAATGATAGCAATCTGCTTCCATTGTTAACCAGTAATACCCTGCCCTTAGGATTTTTCTTGCCATAACATGCCTATTTGTATGGGTTTCGAAAGTGCCTTCATGGATTTCCCTCATAAGCGTATCCGCTTCTTGTTTCTCCATACACCTGAGTAGAACCATATCATAGTTTCTTTTGTACAATACATTACAACTCAGAAATAATTTTGATGCTAGCCTTCACAGAGTTTGTTTGTCGATGATAGAGGCATTTTCAGGGTATTCTTGCTTTTCAAGATATCTCTTGATGTCGTAGAACCAAGGCTTGTCATCTGGTCCTTCTTCAATAGCGAGGCAATATGCTAGCTCTTCAAAATGTCTGATAGTGATGCGTGGCTCGTGATTGGGCCAGGTTGCTTTAAACATAGCTGACAAGGTTTCTAGAGCATCTTCCATTTGATTATCTTCTCGCGGGATGTGGTTGAAAGTAATTTCGGTAAATTCCGCAGCTAGATTTAAGACATGATCCCGATATGGAACCAAGTTTAGGTTTTTGGTGTCCCATTCACCTTTGACTTGGCATATGACCAATGCGGAGTCTACGAATACTTCAAGGTATTTGATTTTCAGATCGATGGAAGCTTCTAAACCTAGGATGCAAGCTTCATATTCGGCGATATTGTTGGTGCAGTCGAAACATAACCTTGCAGCGTAAGGTGTGTGATAATTCTTTGGAGAAGTTAAAAATGTCCCGATACCATGTCCCAATGCATTTGAAGCTCTGTCAAACATGAGTGTCCAACGTGCCCTTATTTCAGGTCCTCCATTGGGTCCTGGTATTTCGTAGTCATTAATAGCCATAACATCTTCGTCTGGAAAGTCAAATTTCATGGGCTGGTACTCTGGAAATGGTTGATAGGTGAGATGATCAGCTAGTACACTACCTTTGATATCCTTTTGGGTAACATATAGTATGTCGTATTCTGATAATAACATCTGCCATCAAGCAATCCTTCCTGTAAGAGTTGGTTTCTCAAACACATATTTCAAAGGATCTATCCTTGCTCTTATCCATGTGGTATGTGTTAACATGTATTGCCCTAATCTTTTAGTAGCCCAAGCTAGTGCACAACAAGTTTTCTCGAGAAGTGAGTACCTAGTTTCGTAGTCAGTGAATTTCTTACTGAGGTAGTATATTGCATGCTCTCTTCTACCTGTTTTGTCTTGTTGGCCCAATACACATTCCATCGATCCTTCAAGTACTGTCAGGTACATAATAAGAGGTTTCCCCAGAACCGGTGGCATCAATATTGGTGGCTCTTGCAAATATCGCTTTATCGTCTCAAAAGTTGTCTGGAAATCCTCATTCCATGTTACAATTTGATCTTTTTGCAGCAATTTGAATATAGGCTCGTACATGGCAGTAGGTGTGATATGAACCTTGAAATGTAGTTCAATCATCCTAAAAAGCCACGAACCTTTTTTTCTGTCTTTGGCACTGGCATTTCTTGTATAGCTTTTACTTTGGCAGGGTCCACTTCGATACCACGCTGGCTTACAATAAAACCCAATGACTTGCCTAACCTGATACCAAAGGTACATTTGTTTGGGTTCAACCTTAATTTAAACGTTCGCAGTCGGTCAAATAACTTCCATAAATGTATGATGTGGTCTTCCTCTGTATGAGATTTGGCAATCATATCATCTACGTACACTTCAACCTCCTTGTGAATCATATCATGAAACAATCTCACCATTGCTCGTTGATAGGTTACCCCAGCGTTTTTCAAACCGAATGGAATTACTTTGTAGAAGAAAGTACCCCAAGGTGTCATGAAGGTAGTCTTATCCATGTCTTCGGGCGCCATTTTAATCTGGTTATAACCTGAGAAGCCATCCATGAATGAGAATACTGAAGCTTGATTCGTGTTGTCTACAAGAACATCTATATGAGGTAGCGGGAAATCATCTTTAGGACTTACTCTGTTTAGATCCCGATAATCTACACATATGCGTACTTTGCCATCTTTCTTAGGTACTGGCACAATGTTAGCTATCCCAAGTGGATAGTCTATCACTGCCAAGAACCCTGCATCAAAGTGGATAGTTTGTAAAATATGACACTAATAAAAAACCAAAAGACTTTCAAGCTTCTGGAGTTTACTTTTACAATAGTGATGAGCTGCTTGCAGTAGCACATGACAGAGAACAATTTGTGCATCATATGGAGAAAATTTCAAGAAATTAAATATTATATTAGTTACAGATAAATAAATCTCAAACATGAAAACAACAGACGCTTCATATCAGTTGCAGATGTTGTGTATAGAGAATCTAACTAATGGGAAAGAGAAAGAGATATACCTTTGAGCCCGAATCGGATTTCCTTGATCGCCGCTGGTATGTGAAGCTACAAATCAGAACTTCGACTCTCTCTTTTACCAAAATCTAATCACATGAAACCATGAATCAAAATAAAACATCAAGGATGAGGAGAGTTTATCGCGGATTTGCTCCATGAGAAACCTTGGTGTTCCAATCTAATATTTACAATCAATCTTTTCAGTTCATTAAACAACAATCTAAATCAAATGCAACTATCATCTCAAAGCTTCAAAACAATAAGAAAACAAAAAGTGGAAAGCAGTGAGAAACATTTATTGAATTACCTTGTTTTCTCAGCATGTAACCACACACATCATAACAATTAGCATCTGGAAAAACTCATTCTCAATGCTGATAACATTCAGACAACAAAACCAAACCATATTAATATTTCATCAATAGAATAGTCCAATAACCAAAACCCTTTCCACTGAGAAAATCAAACCCTAACCTAACAACAACACAATGAACTACCTAACCCTATAAAAATGAACAATAAATCACAAATTCCATTGTATTCATCTCGACACAACAAAAATAGTCTCAATAAATAACAAACAAACAAATCAGTTTCAAAGATTTCTAAAAAATAAAACGAAAATCAGATGGGTGACCAGAACGATTATGGTGGTGGTTGTAATGAAAACGAATGTAGAAGTTTTCGGTGATGACATCTGAGTTGCGAAGGGAAGTCTCGTCGGAGCAGATTGAAGGTGGTTTGCAATGGATGTGCTTTCATAGTTAGTGGTTGAACCAATGCGGTTTTGTGTTTTCGTGTGGTGGTTTGTGGTGGCGGTCCAGAAACAGAAAAATGAAAATGGTGGTGGTGAAACAAATAGTTATACATTTTTTATCTGATATTAATGATGTTTTAAAGAAGAAATGGAGAGGTAACTTCTCATTCTCTATGCAACTTTTACCAACACCATATTCGAGTGTGAGATTTTAAGATTCTGTTGTATCCCTTTTAAATAGTGTAGTAACAGACTGGTGATTAGTATAATATATGGGTTTCTTTTTCTAACGCAAAGAGACGTTTCATTATCTAAGATATTAATTTTGATTTTGAATTAGTTTTCCTATGTTAAAATGTAGTTTAACAGATAATATAGATTTTATTTAGAGATTAAAATAAATAAAAAATAAGTAAGAAAAAAATATGAGAGTGACATTTAAAATAAAATACCCTAATAATTGTGTGATTTTTTCAATAAAATGTAAAGTGGGTAATATCATGTCTTCTTAGTCTAACCATGGGCATAGAATGGAGTTGTTGACAGAATTCCAAGCACCATAACATTATATTTATTTATTTAATTATTTTTATTTTAGTACTACCTTCTCTCACGCTTGACTAGTGAGTTTTCATTTTCCGTAGTGCCTATCTTTCATGGTGTTTAATAAGTGATATTTTTGTAAAATTATAATATTTGATGAGAATAAATAATATCTATAGACAGTATAAAGTAATTTTATATTTTTAATTAATCACAATTATATTATATATTAAATCATATTATTATTTTTAAATAAATCATATAATATGATTAAATAATAAATTTTTATTGAATGAAAATATAAAATTATTGTATATAATAAGTGCACTAACTTTTATCTCTTATTTAATTATTATTTTTTAATAAGTATAATTTAAATAAAAAATACTTTCTCATTCCGTAAAACAAAATATATTTTCCACCAAAATTCATAAAAAATGAATAAATGAAAACAAGTTTAAATATGTGTTTAGACCCTTTCATTAAGTTATCTTTTATATTTAGTCGCCGGACATATTCTTGGCTTTTGTTTTTAACCTTTTCAAAAGAAATAATTTGTTATTTGGTATTTTTGTTTTAATCTTGATAAGGGCTGTAAATTATTTTATTAACTAAATTTATTAATATCTGTTAAATATAAGTTATAATTATTTTAAAATAAAATCTTAAAAAAGTAGAAAGAAAAGCAATATAGTGTTAACAAGGTGTATGTATAACATGATCTGTCCCTTTGTCTCTATATGTAGTATCCATACTCCTTAGATTCCATGTTCTTCGCTTTCCCTTTCATTCCAACCTCATAATCATAAACTTCACCAACTCATAATAATTCTCTTTTAAACAAATCAACAGAAAACAATAACACACACATACTGTCATAACATAAAAACAACAACAACCAAAACCAATATTTAACATACATTACACACTTTCTCTTCTACCTCTATTTTCTCTGTTTTTTTTCTTTTTCCTTCCCAAAACATGGTTTCACCTTTATCTCCACCTTCATTTTCCATTCTCTTTTTTCTCTTATCAATATTTTTAACAACGGTTTCATCTCTCACATGTTCGACTCAGAAACTCACCGGAACAATAACCTACCCTAACTGCCTCGACCTCCCCGTACTCAATGCCTTCCTCCATTACACCCACGACCCGCAAAACTCCACGCTCTCGGTCGCCTTCATCGCGTCTCCACCGACTCCAGCCGGTTGGGTTTCCTGGGGAATAAACCCAACCGGGGTAGGAATGGCGGGGGCGCAGGTGATCGTGGCGTTCAAGAATGACACCGCGATGGCGATGAAAACGTTGAACCTTAAATCTTATAGTGAGATTATACCTGGGAAGCTGTCGTTTGATGTTTGGGACATGAAAGCCGAGGAAGATGGTGGCGGTTTTATGAAGATTTTTGCGACGGTTAAGGTTCCGGTTAATGTTAACGCCGTTAATCATGTTTGGCAAGTGGGGCCCTCCGTATTTGCAGGAATGGTGGGTCCGCATGAGTTTAGTCCACCGAATTTGAATTCTAAAGGAAGGCTTAGCTTGAATGGAGCAGCAGAGGTTTCTGATGTTCCTCTGGATTCTGCCACCAAAAAGAAATATGTGAGTTTTTAGCCTTTTATTTTCCTCTATATTTTTTTACTTGTGTTACTTTTACAAAAATAAATTTATAAAAAAAATAGGTTTTTTTTTTCATAATTTTGATTAAGAATTTGGGTTTAAATTTTAATTTAATTTGTATTTTTTTCGTCAAGTAAGTGGGATATGAGAGATTCCTACGCATCCTCTTATAATTTAATATTTTTGTATAATTATTAATTGAACTAGCTGATTTAATGTGATAATTTAATTGGTATATTATTATTATTATTATTATGAATTTGTGTTATTTTAAAAAAAATCTTGATTATTTTTTGTTGGAAAATATATTTCTTGTTTTGGTGTTGAAGAAAAGTTGGTATTTTAAAATGAAAAATAAAATCTATTTGGGTCAAAATTTAAATTGGAGTTCATCGACTATTTTATTTTAACTAACAACAACACTGTTGTTTGATGTTTTGTACTACGATGATTGCTTTTTGGATTGTTTTTGTTTTTTGACATGTTGTTAATGTGTGATTTTGTTGAATAATGACAGATTCATGGTTTATTAAACACAGTGAGTTGGGGAATTTTGTTTCCCCTTGGAGTAATCATGGCAAGATATGTGAAAACTTTCCCATCAGCTGATCCAGCTTGGTTCTACCTTCATGTTAGTTGTCAATTATGTGCTTATGTTCTTGGAGTTGCTGGTTGGGCAACTGGCATGAAACTTGGAAGTGAATCAGAAGGGATTACTTTCAGTATTCATCGTAATGTTGGAATTACCCTCTTTTGTCTTGCAACTATACAGGTATCAAACAACTTTCTCTGATTCATATAATAATCTTACTCAAAAATACTATATTGAATTTTTTCTATACCTAAGTTTTTGGAGGCTACCAAGTTACTCATAGCTCAACCAATACAATTTTGACTAAGCCTATTTCAAGTTTTTGGGATCTTTTAGATTTGTCATAGTTAACTATATAGAAATTTATTTAACAATTTTTTATAAGACTTATTTAACTACAATTTAATTGTTAGGAATTTTGGGTCAGTCATATATTGTCCTTAAAGACTATCATGTATAGTAGTTAATTTTGTATACTTTAAAAGACAAACGACTCTTGAACTCTCTGATAATTTGTTTTATATGTCCTCTAAAACAGTTTTGATTTTAACAAATATTTTATGAGATTTTATCTATCACAATCTAACTGAGATAAATTTTGGGTCATGTACTATATTAAATATTGTACGCCCTAAAAGACAAACAACATTTTTTTTATTATGTGCGATAGTTCGTCCTACATATCCTTAAAAATGGTTTTGATTCTGATAAATATTGTATGAGGCTCTATATATAGCCCGTCTTGAACACTTAAAAAACAGACGGCCGGCTAGTTATAGTAACATTTTCTCTGTTTTTCTTGCCGGCTGCAGGTATTTGCATTGTTTTTGAGGCCAAATAAGGATCACAAATACAGATTTTACTGGAACATCTATCACCATAGTTTCGGATACACAATAATCATCCTTGGAATCCTCAACATATTCAGAGGCTATGAGATGCTAGGCCCTGACCACAAATGGAAATCATCTTACATGACAGTGATAATTGCATTGGCCGTAATTGCCTTAGTGTTGGAAGCTATCACATGGAGTGTTGTGATGAAAGGAAAGTGTAAAAACTACAATAAAACCTATGATGGACAAACAAGGGAACATAATCCTGATGAATGAATCATTTTACCAGATTTAGGTTTGTTCTTCTCATAGAAGATTCTGGTTTTCAATGTTCTGTTTGGATATTTTTAGATCCTTCCCACCTTTTTTTTTTGTTAGTTGTTATATGTATAATAGTCGGTTTCATAGCGTTTTTTAAGTTATAATAATATACTGGTGTAGGTATTGTTATGTTTTCTCTATAAATACTTATGCTTCTTAATTAGTCTTTTTCTTTTGTCAAAGATTCTAAACTCAAATACACTAAGTGCAGAAAAATGAGGTATTGCAAGTTGGCTTAAATTAGTGATACTAGATGTTCACCTGCACGAAGACTTTAAAAAAAACTAATGAAAACTATTTTCGACTATATTTTTTATTAATTATAAAATATCTAATAAATTTATATGATATATTATATTTGAATATAGAACACAACTTTAAGACTCAAATTTTCATCACTAAATTACACACGCGCACTTAAAACTTGAAACAGTTAAATTAATAAATCTAATTAAATTTGTTATATTACTAATAAAATAATACATAAAAGTCATTAAAAGGTTAACCATTTATATTCTCTTTACCTATCAGTAAATACAAACAAATAAAAAATTATTAAAATGTAATTAAATTAAATATAATTTTTTCTTAAATATTAAATATATTAAATATCAAATTCTTTCCTTCTTACTTCATTCATTTTTTGTCACTTTTTTTTATATATTTTATATAGTATTTATCATTTCATTCAATTTTTATTTTTAATTTTCATGTATTATCATCATTATAGTGTATATCAGTTATACTTTTAATATAGTTAATAAAAACAATAAAAATGATAGTCAATTAAGAAATATAAGAGATAGTATTATTCTTTCACATAATATATTTTAGAGAAAATTATATTTATGTCTCCTAAAGTTTGTCAAAAAGACACTGACATCTTTTTTTAATTTTAAATCATACACTAATCTCCTCTAAATATATATATATATAATAGAAAGTTTTATTGACAGACTAAAAACCGTAGGTAAATGTCATATATATCTACGATTTTTAACTGTCGCTAAGGTGTCAGTATCATTTTAATAAATTTCGGAGAATGTCAATATATATTTAAAAATTAAAAGGGTGTTAGTGTTATTTTAATATACTTCAAGGAAAGTGAATGTATTTTTCCCTATATTTTATCTTATGAGAAATATTTTTTGATGGGGTATATAAAAGTATAAATTTTATATTATAATATTAAAATTTAACAATGAAAATTATATATAAAAGTATTATAAATTTAGAAGAGTATTTTCTATAATATTTCTTAAAAATGCATCACATTTTTAAATTTTGTATTACTTTATTTTTTTCCGTATCTTAATTTTATTAATTTCTATTCTCATTTTTTAATATCAATTCTTTTATTATTACTATTATTATTTTATTATTATTATTGACTGTTAATTTGAGAATTAAAGATTTTCTATATAAAAAATGAGAATTACAATAATAAGATATACTAGCAGTAATTAAATATTATATTATTATTATTATTTATAATAGTTGTAGTTAAATATTATATTATTATTATTAATTAAATGTTATTTTATTAATTTTGGTAGTTGAATATTATATTATTATTATTATATATTTTAAATGTAGAGTCAAATTAATAAAAATTAAATTAGAATTTTTGTCAAGAATTATCATGATACGTGGTTATGGTTGTCATGCCTTAGATTTATATTAAAATTATATTTCTAAATTCAATTGCATTAAATTAAAAATATTTGAATCATTTAAATAGTTAATAGAATATATCACATATTATAAATAATTTAGTGAATTAAATTTAAATTAAAAAAATAATTAAATTATTAACTAAAGAGAAAATTTAAATATAATTCTTTAGATGTGATTTTTACTATTTTCTAATAAAAAAAAATATAAATATATTTAAATATTTTCTAGGGAATGAAAATAGATAGAAATTACATATTCGTAAGAGAAAATTATACACTTATCACATTTTTATTGAAAAATAGTAAAAATCACTTCTAAGAAATTGTATCTAAATTTTTTCGTTTAATTAATTATTTTAAACAAAATAATTCATAAAATTTTCAATAAACTTTTTAAAAGAAAATCGTATTAATTTTTATTTGAAAATTAATTTATATAATTTCCCCCCAAAGATTACAATTTTCTATAAAAACAAAGTTTTGTAAATATTATATAAATATCAAAAAAAAAAACGAATGTTACTTTAATTTGGAAAGTAGAAAACAAATGAAATTAATTTTATTTCGGACAAATTAAAAAAAATACTTTTAGAAAATAAAAAAATGTTTTTCCTTTAAAAAAGAATATATATTTTTAGTTTCTAAATATATAAAAACTTAATTTATTTTTTAAAAAAAAATAATTCTTAAAAAAGTTATTTAAAAAAAAATTATAACAAACTCGTGTATACACACGGAATATGTTTTAGAGCGGGATATCGTTTTGGACGGAATTATAAAAAGTTATTCTTATAAATATTTAAAATATAAATTTATAAATGGAAATTGATTGTAATTTAATTTATAAATATAAATTAATTTGGAAGCAATTTTAAATTGATCTAAAATCATTTTAATAGTTAACTGCTTTTTAATTAAATTAATTTTTAAAAATTATTAAAATACCCTAACTCAAATACTTAAAAAGTGTTTATTAAGTAAATCTGATTTAAAAGGATATTTCTTTAATGTATACTCTTAATAAATCATACTTGGGAATATTTCAAAATGACAATCTCTTAGCCATGTGGTTGATATAACAACTAAAGTGACATCAACAGATAAGATAACATAATTATTGCCATATTGATTTTAATACTAATATAGATTTGACACAATAATGTCAATTGTTCACATCTACATAATATTTATATAGCTGTAAAATATGAACCAATTCCCTCTCAATACTTATTTTGTTAAATATCAATGGAATAAGCTTACGATAATTTCTTTTCCCACTTTTATAGTGTGAGTCACACCTCTAAAAATTTTAAAATATTTTTGAATTTTTTCAGAAATATATTTTTGAACGTATCAAATCTAATCTTTTGTCAAAATTTAATTCAAAGATTTTGTCAAAATTTAGTTCAAAGATGCAACTGCGAATTTTTTTAAGGTTAATTCGTAGATACATCTTCAAAATCACTTTTCATCTTTCGTAAATCAAACAACCACTCTATTTTTGAAAAATATAGTTCAGAGATGCATGTGTAAATATTTATAGAGTAAATTCGAAAATATTGTTGGAACAAAGGATTAAAGAAAAATGATTTTTATGAAAACAAGAAGAAGAAGAAGAAGAAGAAGAAGAAGAAGAAGAAGAAGAAGAGAGAGAATGATGAGTTAGTTATGCGTAACTAACTATCTAACTGATTTGTATTATTGTTGCTGCATTTTGATTACAAACATAGTGGCCATTTATATAGGTAAAAATGCCCATGCCCAAATACATGCTAAAAACCCAAATAACTAGATAACAAGAATTAACCAACTAACACACCCCATAATTCATGTTATCAAGACTTCTCGTTCCAATGCCTTTCTTTAACTCGTCGAACCTTACTTTCTTTAGAGGTTTGGTGAATATGTCAGCTAGTTGCACTTCTGTCTTGCAATGTTTTATTTTAAGCTTCCCTTTGTTGACTTGATCCCTCAGAAAATGATACCTTCTTTCAATGTGCTTACTTCGACCATGACACATTGGGTGATTCACAAGGTTTATAGCTGACTTGTTATCAACAAACAGCTTCATCTTAGATTCCATTATTCTGAGTTCTTCAAGTAGCATTTCGATCCATGCTGCTTGGCATGCAGCATATGATGCAGCCACATATTCTACTTCGCATGATGACAAAGCCATAATGCTTTGCTTCCTCGAACTCCAGGAGATTAGAGCTCCTTAGATCATGAAAATTTATCCTGCAGTACTCTTCTTTTTGTCTTGATCTCCACTGAAGTCTGAGTCAGTGTATTCATGAACTTCGACATCTGAGTTATTCTTCAATTTCTTTAGTAACAACACACCATGATCAATAGTTCTCTTTATGTATCTCAACACCCTCTTTACTGCGATGAGATGACATTCTTGAGGCTTCTCCATAAATCTTCTTAACAATCCTACACTTTGGCATATATATGGTCTAGTATTGCAAAGATACCTCAAGGATCCAATGATTTATTTGTAAAGGGTCGAACTTACAAACTCATCATTCAATTCCTTTTTCAGCTTTGCTTCATTCTCTAATGGAGTAACAGTTGCGTTACAGTTGCTCATATTGAACCTCTTCAGTATATCTTGAGCATACTTCGTTTGATACAAGAAAACTCCCTCTTCGATGTCTTTGAATTCCATTCTCAGGAAATAGGAGAGATTCCCTAAATCATACATTTCGAATTCCTGCATTAACTTTGACTTTACCTTCATTATCTCAGCTTCGTCTGCTTCTGTAATGAGTAAGTTATCAACATAGAGATATAAAATGATTCGATTGACACTTTCAACATCATTTACATATACTCCATGTTCAAAGACACACTTTGTGAAACCTTCTTCGATTAGGAAGCTATTTATCCTTTTATTCTAAGATCTAGGAGCTTGCTTCAAACCATAGAGAGCCTTCCTTAATTTGTAAACTTTCTACTCCTGCCATTTGACGTTGAAACCTGGTAGTTGAGTAACATAGACTTCTTCTTCCAATAGACCATTCAAAAAAATTGACTTCACATCAAGTTGGTGCATTTTCAATCCTCTATATGCAGCTATTGAAACAACAATCCTGATTGTTTCGATCCTCGTAACAGGTGCATATACTTCATCGAAGTCAATACCAGATTTTTGTAAAAAACCTCTGGCCACCAGTCTTGCCTGATACTTTGCAATCTCACCATTTGGCCTTCGTTTCACCTTGTAGATCCATTTCACATCGATTGGTTTCTTGTTGGTTCTTTCGACAAGCTCCC